GCCAGACCTCCATCCTGCCCCAAGCCAAGGACTAGGAGTCCTGACCAGGCTGGTGCTGCCCCCGGGAGGGCAGGCCCTGGCCCAGCACCCGTTTGGTGCCTGCAGGCTTACCTGAAGTGGGTGGCAGAAGGCGGCAAGGACCAGCAGCTGCCAGGCCTGGAACTGACCTACCAGCAACTGTTCTTCATCAACTATGCACAGGTGGGAGTCAGTTCCCCACCTCTACCTCCCCTCCCCACTTGCCCCCTCACCCACCGCTGGGAACTGGCTCCCACCTCCTATCCTTGGTGAGCCCTCACTACAGGGTGCCTCCAGGGACACTGTGGGCTGGCAAGCCAGGCAGAACCAGAACTAATGGGCCAAGAGGGCTTCCTGGAGGGAAAGGATGGCAGGGGAGCTGGGACTGGGGAAGATTCAGATGTAGCTGTGGAGGGAGGGGGCAACCGGCTGCCTTCCCTCTCCCCACCCAAGGAGCAGGGGGTCCTGGCGGAACTCCTCTGTGCCTAGAGGAAGGAGACCACACTCCCGCACCGGGAGCCCGCCTCCCCAGGCCCTTGTTATCGTGTAGGTGGGGGCATCCCCTCTGGTCCTCCTTACCCCTGCATTCCCAACCCCGCCCATTCCCCAGTTCCGCAGCCACGCCCCTCATGCGCCCACAGGTGTGGTGCGGATCCTACCGGCCAGAGTTCGCCATCCAGTCCATCAAGACTGATGTCCACAGTCCCCTGAAGTACAGGCAAGTGGCCCTGGCATCCCCACGCCCCGCGCCCAGGCCGGCACTGTCTCAGGCCCCTCCCGTCCACCTGCAGGGTGCTGGGCTCGCTGCAGAACCTGGACGCCTTCGCAGACGCGTTCCACTGCACGAAGGGCTCCCCCATGAACCCAAAGGTGCGATGCCGCGTCTGGTAGCCAAGGCCGAGCCGCGCTGTGCGGCCCACGCCCACCCGCCGCCCCGAGGCGTCCCATCCGCACGGAGGCAGTGCCGCCGGCGGGGACCCCGCAGCCAGCAGCCGACCCACCCGCGCCGCACGGGGCCTCCACACCGGGCCTGGACCCCGGCTGGCGCCTCAGACAACCAACTGGCGCCTCAGACAACAGGAGTTGAGCGCCGCCCATCCCGGTGCCGCCTCTGCGCCCGCCCGCAAAGGTCTACGCCGCCCAACGCAGCCCTGTAGATGCAGTTATCCGTCTTCCACCCGCTCTCCAAAGCGCGTCTTCCTCAGATGTCCACGAGCTTCAGACTTCAGCTAAGTAAACGCTTTAAAGAAGCGGCTGCCTTGTCTGTGTAGCAGGGCCCAGGGCGAGCCATCAGTGTGACAGTACCAGAGAAAGTGCCCCCTCTCCCGCTGCACCTGCCACTGACAGCTGGAGGCCGAGTGGGAACATGGCAGGGCACTCCTGACAGACCCCCAGGGTCCTTGTGCTGGACACACAGCAGTGACCACGATGCCCCCAAATGCCCACCCCATGCCAAGGGTTCAGACAAGGCAAGGGGCTCCTCAGGAAGGAAGGAACTAAGATGGGGGATGGGGCAGAGGGGATGCAAGTTGCACCCCACTATCTGGATGTGGGGTTTTGTGTAACTGGAAGCCAGTGAGGGATTAAAGCTTGTCACATGCCCTGAGTTTTAAATGACCACAGAGAGGCTGGGTGAGGGTGTCGGGTGGACCCCGCCCCTGTGGCTGTCCAGGCCCAGACCAAGGGACACAGGGCAGGGCGGGGTGGGGGGGGGGGGGGGCTGTTGAGAAACTCATCTGGACTCAGATGAGAGCCCCTGAAGCCGGGCAGGACAGGAGTTCTGCTCTGTACCTGTCAACTTTGAGGTGCTGGTCACCCCCACATGACGGGGCCTCAAGGAGCTGGACCTTCCCTAGGCAATTCCCTCCCCCAGGACGGCTTCCCTACAAGTCCCCGGCTGTCCAGCAGTGCTCCCTAGAACCCAGCTAGCTCCCACCAGACGTGAACTCTGACCCTGAGCCCTCCAGGCTGGGCTCCCACCTGGGGTGTTTCCTATCAGATGGAGCCCATCCCACCCTCGTCTCCCACACCCTGGGCCTGTTTGCAGACCCCTAACCTGTAGGCACCAAAGGCCCAGGGTCTCCAGAGAAACCGCCAGGGGCGTGTCCACCACCACCAACCCACCAGGGAAAGTGACTCTCCTAGCGGGGAAAGTGAAGCCTCAGGACGCACAACCACCCACCCGCTCAGATGAAACCAACAGTGATCAAGGCCCCAGCTGCTGAGCGCAAGATTCAGAGGCAATGAAGAAACGCTGCCCAGAAACCGCAGTTTAATGCTCATCACTGCTCACAGACCAGGCCACCCAGATATTCTGGAGTCTGCTCACATCCAGCTCCCAGTGTGCCCGGGGCAGGTGACACCTCCTGGGACCTTCACCTTGAGCATGCCTCTTCATCGCACTGTGGAGGCAGCAGAGGCCCCATCAGGCAGGCCATGCCCCTGGAGCCAAGAGCCGCTCATCCCACCATCCAGGGCCATAGACCCTCCAGGAGGGCATAAGGCCCAAGTAGGAGGAGGAGCGTGCTGGACAGTCCCCTCCAAGTGGGGCACAGAAGGTCGGCCTTAGGTAGAACCATGCTAATATGGGCTACAGTCACCTGGGACAACCGCGGCCCCCTAGGCTGAGAGGACAAGCCACCTCTCTTCTCTGCAGCCCCTGAGTGACCCCTGTCCTCCAAAGAGGCCCTGCTGTGCCCACCCATACAGCCACCCTGCCCCTGACCTGTCACCACAAAGTGGGGCAGGTGACAGTGACATCCTGGGGCTGTCGTGGGCACAGAATCACCTAAAGCCATCCAGGTCCAGCTCAAAGCATGGCCACATCAAGCACGCAACCCTGGGGAGTTTGGGGAGGAGGCATTCTTCGTGCAGTGCCCACCCCAGGCCTGGGCTCACCTGGGGCGGCTCGCTGGGGCCGACCTCTGCAGAGATGCCCAAGGCCTGCAGGATGCTCTCCGGTGGGGCGTAGTCACCCGGGGACTTCTGGACAAAGTGCAGCAGCACTTTATCACCACCTGCAGCAGGTGGGGGCAGGGATGGGGTGGTCAGGGTGCCCCTGTGCAGCCACCACCCCACCTGGTTACGGAGATGTGTGAGCTGCTCTGGCCACACCCTGCCCAGCTAAGAGGACACTGAGAGCTGGGTCACACTGCAAAGAGGGAAACTGTGATTAACAAGCCAGAGGGAGGAAGGGAGGAAGGGTCAGGGCAGAGTCAAGTTCAGCAAGACCTTCCCACCTAAGCATGTGGCCTCGCGACCCCCATCCCATGACCACAGATTAACCCCTGACGCCGGTACCCTAGCCCACCTTTGGCAACCACGAGCAGCCCTCCGCTCTGCAGCAGATCCCCGGACAGATTCCCCTGGATGCCAACAGCCTTGGCCTGGAGGAGGGGAGCAGCCAAGGTAAGTCCCAGACAGAAGCCCTGTACCCCAGCCCCATACAACCGTGGCCCTCACAAACCTTGGCAGCCACATCGCGAACAGGCTTCCCCAGGGCAGCCGGCAGGATGCTCAAGCTATTGTACCTGCCAAGACACAGCTGGCTCGTGAAGGCTCTGACTCTGCACCAAAGACTGGGCCCCAGAATCTGCCCCCCACCCCGACTCCACAAGACGCACCCACCAGTTCCCACAAGCAAGCCCCACCCCAACTCGCCAGGGGCTCAGGGGACATGGGGCAGCCAGACCAGCAATTGGCCCAGCCCCAGGAGCAGCTGCCAGAGCCACTGGCTGGCAGGCCTAGGGCCCCACAGAGGGTGTGGGGAGTGTGGATGGGGTGAGTCCAGGGATCTGGCTCAGCTGGCACCGCCAATCAGACAAGGCAACCAGCCTGTAGCAAGGCACCCAAGGTAGTTGAGGGGCCCCTGACTGGCGCCCTAGGCCCAGGCCCCCACTGCTGCCAGCTAGGGAGAAGTCCTGGGTGAGAAGCCTAACCTATAGCCCGTAACAGAGACAGGCACCCAAGAGAGAGCCTAGTAGGGCTGACTGGAGCAGTGGATGCCCCCAGAGTCCACTTGGCCAAGGAGAGGGTGGCAGGCAGAAGAAGAGGGGAGCAGTGACACCCGGAGCTCCCAGCTTACCGCTTGAAGCCCAGCTCCTTGTAAAACTGCTTGCTTTCGTCCAGGTAGAGCTCTAGAAGGCAGAGACCACAGTTGTGTGCCCCTGGTCTGTCTTCCCTCCCCCACAACCCCCCGCCCCGGGGCTCACCCTTCTGCATCCGGCCCTCTGTCCACCCTTGGTGCCCAGCTCAGCCACCCATGACCAGGAGAGGCAGAACAGGGCTGAGTGTCCCCACTGTTAAGAAGAAGGGCAGAGGCCCAGAGGGGACAAGGGGAAAAGGGAGGAGCAGGACTCTGTGAGTGCACATCACAGGTTGGAGAAAGAGGTGGGCCAGAGAGGTAGGTAGGGTGGGAGCCGGTACAGTCTGGGCTCTAGGCCCAGCCACTCCTACTGGGCTTGTGGGGAAACATTCGAGGAAGTTCAGGATCCAGCTACTGGAGAGGTGGGAGACTGGCAGAGAACACAGCAAAGACTTTTGGTCTTAATTCCAGGCCAGAGTCACCACTGAGGCCTCCACAGCGGGAGGAACATCATGGCTGAGCAGGCAGGTAGGGGCCACAGCTGGAGGAGGCAGGGGAAGGGAAAGGACGGAAGTAGGAGAGGAGGAGAGGGGAGAGGACACAGGAGCATGTCAAAGCCTCTCCTGCAGACAGAAGGGTCAGGGCTGGACGAGGAGGAGACAAGCGAATGCCCTGAGTCTGAGGAGAAGAGGGGTCTCAGGGCGGTTGGGCAGTTGAGGGGTCGGTGCTGGGAGAGGAGGGTGGGTAGCGCAGGCACCTCCTGCGAAGTAGCCACCATCCAGGAACTCCTGCAGGCCTAGGGCCTCCGGCCCCACGCCCACCAGGCGCACGCCGTGCTGGTCCAGGAGCCCCTTGAGGTTGCTGAGGTCCCGGGCGATCCAGCGACACACCATGCAGCCGAAGCGCCGCAAGCCGGCCACCACGCACGCCTGCTCCTGCCACAGGCTCCGCAGCTCTACGGCCTGTGTGTGGGCGGGTAAGTAGCGCCGCCAGACCACGGCCCGCGAGCACGTCCACACCCCGAGCCCCGCGCCAGGGCCGCTCACGTCCAGCCATCGCGCCGAGCTCCCCACCCCCACCCCCACCCGCCCAGACGCGGGACTCGGATGCCGCTGCCAGGTGCCGGGGCGCACCCACCGCCCTGAGCCGCTCGGCCTCACCTCTCCGGTGACCGCGTGCTTCAGGACACACGCGCCAACACGGGCAAGGTCCACGGTGCTCATGGCGCCGACCGCCCCAGATCTCAGCCGGGAGCCCGGGTCCCCAACAGCCTTCTCCTCCTCCAATCCAGCGGGCAACTCCACTCCGCCCCAGGCACGCCCCATACGTCGCCCCGCCCCACTTTGGGCGTGAGCTAGCTCCGCTCCGCCCTGGGCACGCCCCCAGGTGTCGCCCCGCCCCGCTTTGGGAATGCACTGGCCCCGCTCCGCCCTAGCCTGGCTCCGCCCTGGCCCCGCCTACTGCAGCGGCTCGTATGCAAAATAGCCTCTGTGTTTCGCGTCTACCGCCATACCACCCTGAATGCGCCCGATCTCGTCTGATCTCGGATGCTATGCAGGGTCGGGCCTGCTTAGTACTTGTTAGTGCTTTGATTTTGTATATGCGTGAGCCCGCCAGCCAAAGGTGCCGCTGATAGCGGGCGGAGCTTGGCAACTGAGCCGCAGGGACGCGGCGCGCCAGGGCAGAGTGTAGTGCTCTGCCCGGAGCAGCGGGCTCGATCCTGGTGTGCGGGAAGATAAGGGGCGGAGCGGCCAGGGTCCTGGGATCCCGGTGGGGTCCCATCTGGTGAAGGAGCCCGAGGGAGCCCGAGGGCCTAGCTTTTCCGTGGTCTAACAAGACCAAGATAAAACGTATCTTGAATGTCCATGACAGTGCAGCGTTTTCTGAGTTACACATCCGTGCTGCTTTCATCATAAAGTACTGTCCATTATCATGCCAGCTAAACACCTGCTTTAACCCCCAAACTTTGGGTGAAATAGACCTGAAAGAAACAACAGCAGTTTGCTAGGTGCCTTGTGAATTTGTCTTATTCCTTGCGACAGCCTTGTGACACCTTCCACTATCGCTCAGCTTTATCATCGAGGGCCCTTAGCATGGAGGCTGAGAGACAGAGCCAAGGCAAGCCGGACAGCGGAGTCCCACCTAGGTGTCCCCTGACCCCCGTGGAGAGTCTGCGGTTTCTGGCGGCTCCAGGTTCCAGACTTGGCTGGAGAAGGAAGCGACAGCCAGCAGCTGGGGTTTGAGAAGAGGGGCACCCCATCTTGCTACCTCACTGTATTCCACAGGGCCCCCAACAGGGGGAACAGGAAGGTCCAAGATGGCTGCTGCTGCCTCCAACCTGCCCCTGGGCCTCAGAGGATGAGGGTGCTGGGGTGGCTGGAAGTCCAGGCCCCAAAATTGAGTTACTATGTCAAAAAGAGAAAGATTTAATTTGCTGGATATTGAAGGCAGGAAGGAAAGAACATGCAGAGACTAACAGTGGCAGGGAGCCCCTTGTCCACCAGGGAAGGAGAAACAACAGGAAATGTCACAGTTCCCGAACCCAGGAGTGCAACCCCGGAGGCCATGGTACCTTGGGGGTCTCTGGGCATTGGGCACCCAGGTGCCACGTGTGTAGTTCCACACCCCACCTCTCGTCTCTCCAGGGTGCAGCAGCCCTTCTGAGATGGAAGCAAGCCCTGGGACCAACAGCACAACGGCATAGGACTCATTCCTCCTGGAGCGTTTATCATCTGGCACTTGGCATGATACATTGGCCAGGCCTGAAAACCAGAAAGTCACCTGGTGAGCAAAGCTGTGGGCCATCCGGGCTCAGGTCCCCAGGAGTTACAGCCCAGAGACCCTCCAAGCTTCATCCCTCAGACCCAGAGGAGGCAGACACCAAGAGTCTCCCCAGCATTCCTTGCCCCTTGGGAATGCTGACCTCCTGAGGAGCCAGAGCCACCGTGTCGTGAGGTCTCTCGATGGCAGGGGGGACAGGATGCGGAAGCCTCTGCCCAAGGAGCTCTCTGCCTCCCTGATGCCCACTCGCTGCCATGGACTTCAAGCTCCTGTCCACCCTGAGGGGGCAGTGGGGGCACAGGGCAGGCTGCAAGCAGCTGGGAGAGGCACTGGGATAAAGATGTAGCAGTCCTGTGAGCAGGGCTATGTTTGTTCATTTATTCCCTTCTCCTCTTTCCTGCCCTGCCCTGGGCTCCTCGTCTGCGCCAGGTCCCAGCTGGACACCAGGATCTGGGCTGCGTAGACCCAGCTCTGACCTTTAGGAAGCCCCATGCACACCCGAAGAGAAGCAGATTCTCAGCAATGATAGCCAAAATAGGGAGGTTGGCAGTCATCTCAGGGTGTGTCAGCACATCCTTGCTATGTCCTCACCCTGGGTCGCCTGGGTTCCAGTCTCCAAGCAGGCCAGCCAGACAGCATTCAATGTCCTCCTTGAAAGGTGGAGGGACCCTCCTCGCTGAAGTGCTGACCCACTACTCTGTGCCTGATGGTCAGATTGGGGCAAGCTAGGCACCAGGGTTTGGCAGTGAGGAAGTGGGCAGGGTTGCCCCTGTATCTCTTCATGTGCCCGGGCCATTGGGGGTCAGGCTGGCAAGCAGCCCTGTCCCCCTGGCCTCACCTGTCTCTGAAAGGGTCAGTTTCTTGGGGAGAGGCCCCCATCTTTGCTTGGCCCTTCCTGACAGGTGTATCTGTTTCACAGGAGACCCATCAGAGGGAGAGTTTCTCTCCAGGTGATAATGCCTGTCCCTCCAACCCAACTCAGGTGATGCTGTTAGGATGGGCAGAAGCTCCCAGGCCTCTGGTGCTCCTGGGCCCTTTGTCTAGAGCCCTGCCTGCAAACCTGGAAAGAGAGACCCAACTCCTCCCTTAGAAACAGGGGTCCTGAGACAGCTGGGGGCTGGAGCTGGGCCAAGCCTAATGAATGCATCCCGCAGGATAAAAAGTGGGCACGGCTCCCCAGGAGCTGCAAGCCCTGCTGGATGTCACTGCAGGGGCTGTGGAGGGCACAGCAACCGAGGTCACTGGGAGGCCGACCTGCTGACAAAGGGTCCAGGACACGGACACCTGAGGTATCTCGGATCATGCCTGCTGGGGGCTTCAGGTCACTCAGTCCCAAGTGTGGAGGCAAAGGGAGCTGGTGGGACCCCTCCTGAGCTCGCTTCAGACTCTACCCTGCAGAGAAAGGGGCTACTACTCAAAGGGCTTGACCTCACCACCACCCACCTCCTCATCAGCCACAGGCGGCCTGAGCCCGCCCCTCACCCCTGAGCAGCGCAAGCACTGAGCCAGCCCTGTGAGGCGGCAGCCACCAGCCCCTCGTGGCACCACACCCCCCTGTTCCCCCAGCCCCTGAGCCCCAGTAGTTCTCTGGGCCCCTCCCTCCTGGGGATGGACTGGACAGGGTGGGCCTGAATGCAGCCTCGTAGGGATATCACATTCGGAAGGGATTTCTAAACAAGAACCATGTTCAGCTCCATTTCCTCCTTTCTTATGTTTGTTTCTTTGTTTTGTTGGTTGGTTGGGTTTTGGCCACGAAGTTTGCAGGATCTTCGTTCCCCAGAAAAAGTGAAAGCGTTAGTCACTCAGTCATGTCCAACTCTTTAGGACCCCATGGACAGTAGCCCACCAGGCTCCTCTGGTGGTTTAGTCGCTAAGTTGTGTCTGACTCTTGTGACCCCACGGACTGTAGCCTACCAGGCTCCTCTGTCCATGGGATCTTTCAGGCAAGAATATTAGGGTGGGTTGCCATTTCCTCTTCCAGGAGATCTTCCCAACCCAAGGATTGAACCCAGGTCTCCTGCATTGCAGGCAGACTCTTTACTGTCGGAGCCACCGAAGCCCCCTTAGATCTCCAACCAGGGTCCACAGAAGTGAAAGCCCCGAGTTCTAACCACTGGACAGCCCAGGAATTCCCTTAGTTTGTTATTGAAAGATATACTTGGGACTTCCCTAGGGGCTCAGTGGTAAAGAATCTGCCTGCCAATGCAGGAGACACAGGCTCGATCCCTGGTCCAGGAAGATTCCACGTGCCGTGGAGCAGCTAAGCCGGTGAGCCACTGCTACAGAGCCCGCCCTCTAGAGCCCAGGAGCCGCACCACGGAAGCCCTTGCACCTAGAGCCCATGCGCCACCACTGCAATGAGAAGTCTGAGCTCTGCAGCAAAGACTAGCCCCCCGCTCACCACAACCCAAGAAAGCCTGCGCAGCAACAAAGACCTAGCATGACCAAAACTTACTTAATTTTTAAAAAGATATATTTGGAGGGAGATGATCTGAGATTCTATAAATCTGTTTCTCCTCAAACTTTCTGGGAAGTCATGAGAAGCAAGGACACTTCCCAGCAATGAGCCTGCTCCAGGAGACACGTTGAGACTGTGTAAATATCGTATTTCTCATCAAGCTCTTTATCCACTGATTTTCTTCCCTGAATAAAGCAGCTGGATTGCCTGAGGCTCATATGCCCACAAGGGTCCCCGGCCCCACAGCTGGGCTCAGAGAGGCAGAGGCAGTGGCCTGGGTGACATGGTTAGTGGGCAGCTCTATGTGTGAACACAGGTCTATCTGACTTTCCGGCCCCCATGCTGGGGTGGAGGGTGGCAGGAGGGGGTGGGGACAAGAGGAGGGAGCTGGAGGAGGGAGAACAGGATGGAGTGAGGAAGGAGAGATGGGAAAGGGGAGGGCAAGGAAGAGAGGAGAGTGAGGCCTCAAGACCCAGAGTGGGAGAGATGCAGACCCAGAGGAGGAGGAGTATGGAGAGAACCGTGTCAGGGATGGAAACTGTTGGAGCCAACACCACAGACAGAGGGACAGACCTGGGAAGACGAAGTGGGTGCAGGGTGGGAAGAGAGGACCCTCAGACTCCCTAACTGTGGCAGTCCCCCCGCTGCCCAGTGACCTCAGGCTCCCTCCAGAGTCTCTGAGCACCCAGGTCAGCTCGGGGGCCAGGGGATCAGCCTGTGGGGTTCCGCTTCAGGAGAGGGGTCCTCACTTCCAGAACCTCCCTTACAGGACCCCTGGAGCCCTCCCCCAGCCCTGACCTCAGAACCACAGGAGGGGCATCAGCACCCCTCTGCATCCACTCCATGGAAGGGCCATCATCCACCTCCAGGAAACCAGTACCTGCTGTCTCTGCCTCTCTCTGCTGGGGTGATGTGTGTGTGAGCCCAGGGTGCAGGTGACATCTTCTGGATGCTGGCACACGACGGGGAGCAGCCAGGGTGAGGCCTGTGGGCTTTCTGCTGGGGGAGGGCCCTTACCTCCCAGGAACATGGGGCTAAGACCAGGAGGACCACCTACTGGGTCTGGGGCTGGCACTCCTCCAGGGTCTGGCAGGAGAGAAGATCCCAGGAGGGCAGTTTTCACAGCCTGTCCAACCACTCAGTGCCTGAGCAATGAGAGGGACGGGCACAGGGGCCCAAGGACCCAGGTCAGGAGGGGGAGCTGGGCTTGCCACCTCAGGCTTGGATCTGGGGTCTGTGTCTTCAGAGGGTTTCAGGGGACTAGGCTGCTCTTGTGCTGGCCAGAGACCTGGGGATCAGGGTACCCGGCCCCTCCAGCTCACCTCGCTCCAGAGACCTCTGGCTTGCTCTACAGATGGAGTGGAGCCAGCCCCAGGACGGTCATCCCCATTCCTGCTATCAGAAGTGGTCTTGGTGGCGGCCACATGTGGTACCCTCTGTGGTGAAGCATGTCTTCCTGGAGTAAGGGCATGCATCAGTTGGCAGCAGGATTTCGGGGTTAGGGTCAGCTTCCTACCTGGGTCACAGAGGGCACTGCAGGCCCTCAATCAGGCATTGAGGGGGGGATGGTGGGCTTCCCCAGGGTGCGGGGACACACAGCATACCAGGCAACTCCCCCCAGGGCTGTTTCACCTGGTACCTGCCACCCAGGAGGCCAAGGGCACTCAGGGCTGACAGGGCCGAGGGGGCCCGCCCACCACTGCCACCTGGATACTTCCGGCAGGTACGACCCACCCACAGGGACCTAAAGGCACCTGAGCTCTTCCTGGCCCCACAGTGAGCCTGCTGGGGTATGTCAGATCATTCTGCAAGTATGTCAGGCCCTCTAGGGGCCTGGTTCTCTCACAGGGGCCACTCTGAGCCCCAGGCTCTGGCCAAAAATGAACTGGCAGGTACCCAGGCCAGGTTCCCTGTGCAGTGTGACTGTGAGAATCTCGGAGGAAAGAATGGGAGCCACAGGGGGTGCCCGTATCTGTGCCTCTGTCAGGAGCTTCATGCCACTGCTGGTGGGCGCTGTGAATGGAGGGGCTCCTGGACCCGGAGGGGTGGGGTGTCTGCCCTCAGCGCATAGTGCTGACCCCCAGAAACAGCCCCTCAGAGGAGGTCCTTCCAGGGCTGCTCTCGGGCAGCACTCAGACCCTATCTCCTCCTCTTTGCCCAGGGTCATCACCAGGACACAGCGATGCAGGAGGAGGAGGTACAGCGCCTAAGCGAGATGGCACTGGCCTCAGTCTCTATCTCTGTGAAATCGGGCAGCAGCTCTGCTGCTGACCACGCTCTGCAGAAATGCCACAGTGGACCCAAGACCAGCTCCAGGAATGGCTGAGTATGACTGCCCTGCTCAGGCCACAGCCTCCCTGTGGCAGAGTGGGAACCCCACCCCTCGGGATCCCAAGGCCCTCCAGGCTGAACAGCTCATCAGACTCCCTGCAGGCCAGCACTGGGCCTGGGGCCCAGCAGGCCCGGCCAGCAAGAGAGAGACTGCTCTGGGCCGGGGGCTGGGAGAAGCCCCGCTGGGGGTCCTAGTTCCAGAGCAGGTTCTGCCTGGCCGTCAGGGGCCTCCCTGAGGAGTGACAGCTGGACTGGCAGGGGAGCCACACTGGCCAGGAGCAGGTGGTCTCCACCCAGCTGCAGGAGTATCTAGGCTTATCACCCAGGACCGGCTGCCAGCTGGGGGTGGAGATGGGCGCCAGCCACAGGGCCCCACCCCAAGGCACATTCCAGCCAAGTGCAGCCAGGCCAGGGAGCACCCTTACCTGCAGTGGGGTCACCTGAGACCCCTGAGTGGAGCTGTTGGGGAGGGGCCCACAGAGGGGTCTTCTGCTGAGGGTGGGTCTGGCTCTCCTGAGGTCAGGGGGACTGGGCACCAGCAATATGGGTCAATCCAGGAGATCTGGATTCTGGGGGACAGAGGCCAAGTGAGGTCAGGACAGGGACATGGCCCAGGCTGGGACTCGGGAGAGAGGGGGTCACTGGGGTGCACCCAAGAGGTAGGAGTGGAGACAGGGCTGGCTGGTGAGACAGGCAGAGCCTCGGGGTCTCGCCAGGCTCCCAGTGTCAGCCTTGGGCCCCGGGCACCAGAGTGTGGACCTTACCTCGTAGAGCTCCATGTCCCTTCAGGACCCTTCAGACCCCGGCTACAGTGCCCTGGAAAGCCACACAGGGGTCACCTGAGGCAGGAAGGGTTTGCTCCCCACTCCCCTGTGTCCCCTGGGCCCACAGCTGCCGGTGGAGCAGGCCCCTCGTTGACAGCTCAGAGTCAGGTGCGGCTATGCTCAGGGGAGAGACCAGTGGGGAGACCAATGTCAGGCTGGGAGGGGTGCAGCCTGTGTGGGCGACAGGAGCTGACCAGCCAAAGGAGGGAGAGTGAAAGTGAGTGTTAGTCACTCAGTCATGTCTGACTCTCTGCGACCCCATGGACTATATCCCACCAGGCTCCTCTGTCCATGGGATTTGCCAGGCAAGAATACCAAGTGGGTTGCCATGCCCTTCTCCAGGAGATCTTCCCGACCCAGAGATTGAACCCAGGTTTCCTGCATTGCAGAAACTCTCTTTACTGGTTGAGCCACAAGGGGAGGGGCACATAAGTGGGGAGGTGAGGCCCCCCACAATCACAGATCCTCCCCCTGCCTCACCCAGTGAACCAGCTTCCTGGCCCCTCCCTCATGCATTAGCGTTCCTATAGAAGCAGGTGACCCCCAAAGGTCATCTGCCCCTCCCCTTGCTCTGACCCCCAGAGAGCCCACCTGCTGCTCCCCACAACACTGAGCCCACCAAAGAGCTCAGCTTGGCTTCCCCCTTACCAGTCTCAGACTCTGCAGAAACGGTAACCAGTCCTCCAGAGAAGCACCAGCAGCCCCCATGCAGCATGCCCAGTGCATGTCCCCACCTCTGCCAGGCTGTAGTTCTGGCTGTTTACCCCATTTCCCTCAGCTCTGCAGAGGGTGGCTCCTCTCTGACCACCGGAGGACCCGTGAGCTGCAGCAGGGTGTACTGAGCCATCTCTGATGACCACAGGGGCTCCCCACTGTGTCCACCCCCACCTGTCTCTGGAAAAGGGCTGGGCTTGACAGTTTTGCTCCACGTAGCTGAAAGGGAGATGGGGCTCAGAAAGGGAAAGGCCTCGCCCAGACTCTCCCCCGCAATCCTGGCCACCTGTGCTCGGACCTGAACCCCGATCTTCCCGTTCAGTGGGTCTTGGGGCTATCCCCACCCAGGCTTCTCAGTGCCTCAGCAGTCCTTAGATGGACAGGGAGCAGGCCTGGGGACAGGGACCTCTGGGCTGCAGAAGAAGGGTGTGAGGAGCCCCGCTTCCCACAGAGCAGGACACTGGGAGGGCAGGACTCCACGGGAAGGTCACATCCCCAAGCTGCAGGCACATGGGTCAGCCATTTTTGCCCAGCTCTCCCCAGGCAGGAGTTCTGCTGGTAGAACTGGCTAGCAGCCACCACGTGCTCATGGTCACCACCAACTTCCATTTCCAGGGGAGCCTGAGGAGGAGAACCTGGGATACGGCAGGGTTTCAGTCATGAGGGTGAGGCAGGGATTGACCGCCTTCCTGTTCTGCAAAGCTTCCCAGAGCTCAGAGGCAGAGCTGGCCCCCAGCCCGGCCTCCAGCCCCACGGACTCCAGGGCTTGGAGGCAGCGTGGAGGGCATTCAACCCAGCAGCTTGGGAGCCCCTGTGAGATGCCCACCAACACAGCTCTCATCCCCCTGGGAGGGTACATCAGATTGGGCTCCTGCCCCACTATTTACACAGACACTGTCTCCCTGCTGCCTGCAGGCACCTGGGGGTTTCCAGTGAAGGTCGCACCCCCCTGAAGCCTTGGCTCAGCCATGATGGACTCTGAGGAGTGCTTTAGAACATTCTGGAACCCCAATAGTACGTCAGGGGCCTATGGCCTGGTCTGGGGTGCTAGCACCTCCTCTGCTCCCTCCCACACCCTCACTGTCCTCCCATCTCCTGGGGTGTTCCTCCAGATGGGACTACCCCAACATCTTGAATCCCCCCCCACATCTGATACATCCTCAGAGATCATTTCATTCACCCTGCCCATGTTGGGCAGGTAGGGAAATTGAGGCACAGCAAGGAGCAGGACTTACCTGTTGAGGCCCGCCCCCAAGGCCACAGAAGCAGAGCCCAGAACCAAGGTCACCTCTGAAGCTGACTGAGCCCCTTTGTAACTGTTGCCAAAAGCCCCTGATGATCACTAAGGAGCTTCCTGACTCCCCATTAGGCAAAGATCCACTCCAGTAAGCACCCTGTAGCTCCCTAACCAATCACCTAACGCCAACCATCCAGCAGAATTTTGTTATAACAATTGGCTATTAACCCACAAAAACTGTCCATTTTCCCTGGTTTGTCAGGAGGTCAGCCCACTGTGCTTGCACTGCACACATTATCTCTGCTCTTTGTTCTTAATAAACTCACTCCCTTCTGAAATGCTCTGTGTCTGGAAATTTTTTTCCAACTTGCTCTTGGACTGCTCCGACATTACCCACACGCATCAGTGAGTCAAAGCCTGAATGGGGAGCCGCACTGCTGGCTGGACCATCCTCCCCCTGCCCCACCCCTTCACCACCACACTCAAGCATTGGGTTGCAAGGCCTTGGATGGCCTCCTGGGGCTCATAGTCTAGTGAGGAAGCCAAGTCTAAAAGTCAAAGTAAGGCTTCTGTGGTGGTCTAGTGGTTAAAAGTCCACTGCCAAAGCAGGAGACACAGGTTCAATCCCTGGTCAGGAAAGATCCCATGTGCCGTGGAGCAACTAACCCCAGGTGCCACAACTATTGAGCCTGAGCTCTAGAGCCCACGAGCTACAATTACTGAACCCGAGCACCTAGAGCCCATGCTCCAAAACAAGAGAAACCGCTTCAATGGAAAGCCCTCACACAGCAAGTAGAGTAGCCCCCACTCGCTGCAACTAGACAAACCCGGTGCCCAGCGACAAAGACCCAGGACAGCCAAAAATATAAGTAAATCTTTTTTAAAAAATAAAATTTTTTAAAAAGCCAAAGTAGCTTCATGTGCTGAAGGCTCACTTCTGGGCAGCAGATGCCAGGCAGGGCTCTGAAAGATGAACAGGAGCCCTGGGAGTCCGGGGGACAAGGTGAGAAAGGTGTACAGTGAGGACGGATGTGTGCTGAGCAGTGTGACCGGGTCCACTCTTGGTGAGATCTGGAGGGGGTGGTGACACTGATGGCCATGGCCCAACCTGTAGAGGGGCTGGAGCAAAGGCAAACCACTTGCAGGGAAAAAATACGTCACATACATTAATATCTTGGAGCCAAAAGATATAAGTGTTACAGGGTCTGCGCTTAGTCGTTCAGTCCTGTCTGACTCTTTGCGACCCCAAGGACTGTAGCCCTTCAGGCTCCTCTGTCCATGGGGATTCTCCAGGTAAGAATACTGGAGTGGGTTGTCATGCCCTCCTCCAGGGGATCTTCCCAACCCAGAGATCAAACCCAGGTCTCCCGCATTGCAGGCGGGTTCTTTACCATCTGAGCCACCAGGGAACTGTTACAGTAAGACAATCCAATTTGCAGAGATTCAAATAATCCTTCAAACCCAATAAGATGAATAGAGAGCACTGGCAAAGCGGTGCAACATCATGAGTCAACAGGGAAACGCAAAGTGAAACCAACGGAAGGGCCAAGATTAACATCTGACCAAATGCTGACGAGCACACAGAGCCATTGGGAATCTCAACACTCCCAGGGACGAATGGAACATGGCACGGCCACTTTGGACCACGGATTGGCAAGTTGTTAGGAACTTACAGACACACCTAACACAGGACCAGGCAATTCCCCTCCTGGGTAAATAGGGAAGAGAAATGAGAAGACGTGTCCACACCAGAGGGCTTCCCAGGTGGTTCCTAGTGGTAAAGAACCCGTCTGCCGATGCAGGAGACCTGAGACACTTGTTCAATCCCTGGGTCAGGAAGATCCCTTGGAGGAGGAAATGGCAACCCACTCCAGTATTCTTGCCTGGAGGATCCCATGGACAGAGGAGGCTGGAGGGCGACATACAGTCCATAGGGTGGCAGAGTCAGACACAACTGACTCTAGCCCGCACACACGTCCAGAACTTGTTTACAGAAGTCCAGAGCAGCTTTCCCAGTAATAACCAAGAGCAGCACACCATCCAGATAAATGAGTAGACACATAAAGCGTGGCATATTCGTATAGTGGGACCCTACTCAGCAATAAGACAATGAGTCTTGGTGCACACAGCATCAGAGGAACCCTGCAGTCACTATGCTGCGTGAAGAGCCAGGCTGCATGACTGCACTGATGTGAAATCTGGGAGCAGGCGGACGTCACCACGAGTGACAGAGATCAGGGATGCTTGAATGGGGCTGGGGCCTCCCTGGAAGGGGGCAGGGCTAGTGGTGAGGGCTGCCATGGCAATGTACCTGAGTCTGGAGGGCTCAAACAAGAAAAACTCATTTCTCACAGGTCTGGAGGCTGGAAGTCTGAGATCAAGGTGTCCAGGGTTGGCCTGAGGCCTCCCTCCTTGGCTTGCAGATGGCCGCCTTCTTGCCATGTCCTCACCCACATCCCCCATGTCTGTCTTCTTAGGAGCACATCAGTCCCCTGGGACCAGCGCCCCTCCCTTCTACCCACCTCCTGAGAGCTTGTCTGCAGATGCAGTCACGCTGGGGGTCAGAACTTCAACATATGAATCCAGAGTAGATGGGTTTCAGGGCAAACAGTTGAGGAGCAGAATGCAATTCCCAAGGGTCACAAACTTTCCCCCTCGTTCAGTGCTGTCTGTGTCCCCAGCACCTGGCACGGAGCAGAGACTCAGAACAAACCCGATGGGCAACAGTGAGGTCGAGGAGAGCCGCTTCCCCACCTTGCTGTTCACTGAGAGAACATCACAACACAGCCAATGCCCACAAAGACACGCCGACCAGGTCGGACCGTGGACGGAACGCAACTGCAGTCAGGCCACAGAAGTGACCCTGCTGATGCAGTGACTGCTGCTCCTTCCTTCCTCAGCCTCAGTTCCAGCCTCGTTCCACCCACTCAGCAGGATGTACTGAGATGCTCCATCATCGACTTACCGTGTCCCTGACAGTGAAACCTATCAGAGCCTCTGGGGCTCCCGGGCATGGAAGACTTTCTGTGTCCACCATTTCTTGTTTGTAAGGAATAGATTCCAGCTTCCATGACCTTCCCTAAGTTCCAAAGAGCAGTTTCAGACAGTTGCTAATCAGGGAAGGAAGGGGACAATGGAGGAGAGCAACTGATGCCAGATTAAAGGAGTGCAGGCCCTGCCCGCACCCTGATCCTTATTAGCAATCCCACCCCTGAACCACTGTTGTAAAACTCCTCACCAAATCCCCCTGTATGGGGACACCGTTTTTTAGGGAAGGCACCCACCATGGGCCCCTTTGCCTGATAAAGCTTCTGGATCTGGGGATGGGGGATGGAGGGATAGGAGTGTGGGGGGAGGGGGAAGGGCTGCCACAGACAACCTCCACTTTCTCCTCTATCCTCTTCTGCGGGCTGTGAGTTTTTGGAACTGCATTTTCACTTTTAAGAGAAAAAAGCTGATGAGGATATGGATTAACATTCACTGCTGGTCAAGGCCAGGTGACCAGGACAGCCCTGGGGGCCCCATACTGTCCCCAGAAGGAAGTCTTGCCAGGTATTCCTTGCCTGCTGCACCCCCCACTTCCTACCCTCCACAATGGGCCCCCACTAGTCAGCCCTGGACTGTGGGATTCAGAAATGAATCAGGTCTAGTCCTGCCCCCAGGGGCCATGTCCAGCACTCTGTACACTCACGTGGCACAGCAGAGTTAGTCACCTTTGTCACCAAAAGGTGGAAGACACCCGGGAGTCCAGCCACAGAAGAATGGCGCCCCCATACAAGGGAGGGTTATTCATCCAGAAGAAGGGATAAAGCTCTGGCACCTGCCACAGTGTGGATGAACCTTGAGGACATGATGCTACGTGACAAGCTGACGTCAAGGGACAAGCACCGAATGACTCCAGTCACATGAGCGTCTAGAGCAGCCAAGTCCACAGAGATAGCAGGTGAAGAGGGGAAAGGGGAGTGAGTGTTTAATGGGGACAGAGTTTCTATGAAGATGATGAAAAAGTTCTGGAGATGGATAGTCCTGATGGCTGAACAGCAATATTTATATCCTTAAGGTTGCAGAATTACACACTTAGAGATGGCTAAGGTGGTAACTTGTAGTATGTATGTATGTTTTATCACAATCTGAAATTAATGATTCAATAACGTTTTGTTTGCAAAGAAAGCAGGAGTGATCCTTGCACGGTTTTGGAATGTTCTATATCTGGACCCAATCAGCACCCCCCAGTCTGATCCCTGTACTATAGTTGGTCTCCCCACCCCCGACCGTACCACGCAGCATTCGAGACCAGGGATCAAACCCACACCCCCTCACCCCTGCAATGAAAGAATGGATTCTTAACCACTGGCCAGCCAGGAAAGTCCCCCTGCACTATAGTTTTGTGAAGTGTTACTGATGGTGAAGCGTGCATGAGCTCCTTCTGTGTTGTTTTGCACAATTCCTTGTGAATTATCTCCAAAGAAAGCATTCAACTAAAAGAATATAAATAAGGAAGCATGTGAACTAAAGGTCTGCACCTACACGCAGGAAGAGTTGGCCAACAGGTAGCCAGGCTCCTGGGCCATGGACCCTGCACCTTGAGATGCCACCCTGGGGTGTTGCTCCAGCTTCCTTCCTTGGCCAGAAAAAGGAACCACTGCCTCCAGGAGGTGACGCTGGAGGGTGGGGCCCCAGGGCCTGGGAGCTGGTGTTGTCCACCTTCAAGAGTTATGGTTTCCTTTTTAAATGTGAACCATGATCATATTCTTCCCCTGAACTGTTATCAGGACATTTAAAAGATGCTCACCCCGGCCTGTCTCCTTTGTTTCAACGTGGTCACAGGCTTCATTTCACAAAGAAAATCTGGGACATGAGGGGAATGTTGTGTGGCCACAGCCTGGTGAGAGGCTCCCCACCCCCAACTCGTGCTTTCTTGCCCTTTTGAGCAGCACTGTGAGTCAGCCCTGAGTCTCCACTGCCAGTGACATGGACATGGTCAACCTATCCCCCACATTCTGCTGCTGAGATATCTGACATGTGACAGATTGGCTCCCTGGATTCGCCAGCCAGCCACGCTAACCAACTGCCCAATTGACCCGGAAGCAGAGGACTGTGTCCACGGCCCCAGCCCCGACCCTGAGCCAAGGTCCCCAGATAGGCTGGCGGGGAGGGGGACCCTCCAGGGCCCAGGGACCAGGCGGTCACCCGCTGCACAGCTGAGGGTCTCTGCCCGCCTTTGATAGGGAAACTGGAGGGCTCTGAGCCAGCGGGCCTTACACTGAGTCCAGGCTCTTCAGGCCTCCAGGAAGCCAAGCTCTGTGTAACCCACATTTATTAAACA